TAAGATAAAACTTTATTAATCCCTCGGGTGGGTTCCTCTGGGAAATTCGGTTTCCAAAAGCACAGCACCGACAGAAGTTACAGAGTTACAGAATATTATATATATATATATACACACACACACACATATAAATACAGAGACATATATAAATAAAATATACGAAGGGGATAAATAGAATAAATAGGAATAAAAATAAAAATACAAGTGAATTGCACATTTCAAGTATTGTATATGTATGTGTAAAAAACATTTGTGTGTGGACTTAGCCAAAAAATAGGTGTGAAACTCTACACTCAAGTTTTAAGTTACAAGTACAAATTCTGACCCTATTTTTCTTCCTTTCATCTGATTGGCCAATGTCATGTCAATCACAAATTTAACTATCCAATCCGAGAACAGACTATGGTTATACATAGTTCTGCTATACGTCACACACAGTTTACTTAGTTCCACTTTTTCTGTTTGGTTTCCTGTGTTTTATTAATATGCTATGCAGCTCTGCACTAACTTCCTGTTCTCTGCACAAGACATGCAGTCTCCTTGTACTCTGTGACTTTTGGCACATATTCTAACTCACAAGGGCGATTTTCTACACTGGCCTCTATAAAACAATATAAACAGAAAATAAGGATTAATTATATATATATTGTAACAATATATATTGTCTTGTAACAATCCTTTAACCAAATGCCCTAGTCTAAACCTTTTCACTTGGCCGACAGCACACAATTACATTAAACACAGCACATCAACTTTAAACACACAACACATCAACTTTAAAATTCCCCCAACCCTGACAGGAATAAACTTTCATCAAATATTCCCCAGACTTTACTTTTTATTTGTCACAAATTACCCAAAATCACCATGGACATGTCACCAGAAATCTACTTAACAGATTTTCACCACTACTGAGCCAATTTAACGGTCAAGCTCATCAACTCGGCGAACAGATAATTTAGAGTTCATCCAATCTGCACAATTTGCTTTTTTGAACAGGCTGTGCCTACCTTTAAATCTTTTTAGACCGGTCTCCTGTCCACCTCATTTCAGATCCGACCTTCGGCCACATTTGTCCTCTCAGCCGCAAAAGAATCGGGGTTCATGGCACCAATTATCAAAAAATAAATAAATAAAAGAAAGATATATATATATATATATATATAAAATCTCCAATTAACCTTTCAGAACACTGCACCGCTCTCTGGAGAGCTATCCAGTTGTAGGTGGTGCTGTTGCCATGCCAAGAAGTAATGCATCCGGTGAGGATGCTCTCAATGGCACAGCGGTAGAAGGTCCTGAGGATGTTGGGGCTCATGCCGAATCTCTTCAGTCTCCTGAGAAAGAAGATGCACTGCTGCACCTTCTTCACTGTTTTGTTCGTGTGAACTGACCATGTGAAATCCTACACCAGATGTGCACCTAGGAAACAGAGGCTGCTCACTCTCTCCACAGGAGCACTGTTGATGGTGATGGGGGTGTGTGTTCTTCTCTGCACCTCTGGAAGTAAATGCTAAATGGACTGGTTCTTATATAGCGCTTTTCTACTCTTCTGAGCACTCAAAGCACTTTACACAACTTGTGCACTCACCCATTCACACCCATTCGCACAAGCACATTTTTCTAGGTGCTTTCTAAGTAATATTCACACACACACTCATACTCTTATGGATGCATCGGAGAGCAATTTGGGGTTAGTATCTTGCCCACGGATATTTGGCATGCAGCCTAGGGGAAACCAGAAATCGAACCACCAACCTTCCGATCAGTAGATGACCTGCTCTACCGCCTGAGCTACAGCCACGGTGGAAAAATGCTTTTCTTGGTTGAATGTTTTCAGAATGTCTGTGGTAAATAAAAATAAACACTGGCTTGCAGTGTCAAAGGTCGATTATCCCCTTTATGATGTCAGACTGTGCAATAAATTGCTGGTAGGCTTCTAGTTGGCCAACATTTCTACATGGTTAGGGTTGACTTGGCGTGCTCTTGACAGTGCTGGACATTGTTTTTATGTTTTCATCTCTATGTGGAGGAAATGAGGAGCCAGAGAGACAAAAAAAAAGTAATGGTTTACACACGTTACATTAATTACCAATATCATTGGCTGGTTCCTGTTTAACTGTTTTGAGGGAAAATGCCTTGCATCCATCATGCCACTCCAAAGTGTCTTTTATAATACTTAACTTATCAAATATAAAATTATTAAATATAAAAGTGCACATGAATAATCGAGGCTTTAAGCACCTAAAAACATGCAGAAAGAAGAAAAATAATCACAAATAATTATAATTGAATCATTTATTCTGTAGAGACAGAAGCATCACTAATAGCAGCCTTACAAATTAATTCCAAGGTTCAACACTGATTCACCGTCTAATTCAATGCATGACTGCAAAGATTTTGTTGTTTTGCCTTCAGGAAAGTCTATTATCGCAAGATCATCAAATCTTTTTGTGATTTGATGATCGTTACCGTTGCATTCATGACATTTCATTGAAAAAAGCACACAGTGAGGTTTTGGAATGTCCTCAAGAGTAATGATGGTTTTATTCCAGCATATTCAGACGTCACATGTATAGCTGCCAGGCAAAAATCTGCTTTTCTGAAGCCATCTTTAAAAACTAGAGCATAAATATAAATGTTATTTACAAAGACTGACTAAAAACTGCTCCCCTAACACAGCCTAAAGAACCAGACTCTGTTCACTGTTAAACACCAAATTTTCTTATATCGCTAAGCGATTGTGCATCAAAATACTGAGTAGCTGCCACAAAAAACACATGAAATTAAAAAATAAATACAATGATTTGTTTTACTTCAGTTGGCACTGTGGAAACTGTGACAAGTACGGTGGCCTGAGAGTGACACTACAACTGAAGGGCAAAAACAAAGAACAGACAAAAGACAACACACTGTGTTGACATCAAAATGGTGAAAATACTGTTTTACATTTATTTTGATGTAGGTCAGCTGCTGTGGTCTTCACTCTGACGCTACCACTGACATGTCTCATACTGTAAATACGAGGGGGGAGCATCATTCCTTCTATATGATTGTGTATCTACATTCTATCTACAACCTTTTTACAGCTCACGCAAGAAATACAAAAAACAAAAACAAAAAAATCACAGACACATCAAAATGAAAAGTGCTAACTGAGAATGACAGGATGAGTGAAACAGAATAACTCGTTCTGGTGAAAGAAAGCTTTGTACAATGACTTCAATGTACGGTTTCACAGCTTGTGTTTGTTTGATTTCTTCCTGATGTGTGCACTTTTATTCCATATTCTTGACACTCTGTATGTTTAGTTGAACTCTAGGTCTAGATCCACCTATAACAACCAAACATATTTGGTCCTAGAAGTTATCAGCATAAATGATGCACAGTTAAATATCAGTCATTCAGGACACAAGCATATCACTACATGTTCACTATATGTTGTACTGTGTATGTGACAAATAAAATTTGTATTTGTTTATCTCTATGACCAATAATTTCTATCATAGTTTTCCTAAAACATGATGACAACTAAATAAAAAAGAATGCTCGAGGAGAAAAACTATGACAAAGTGTATTGACACTGTTGTCATTGAATATATACTGGGCAGAAAGGAGGCGATCCAATTAGAAATAATCTCTCTCTTTTTCGGTCAGGTTAGTTGTGCGTATTTCATCTGCTGCTGACTAACAGGGTAAGTTGGAGGGAAGCTCCCTGTTTGTCATGAAAACAAAACAAAATGTCAACACTTGAGTAGAAGAGAAGATGAGACATAGACATAAAGTGGATATTGAGGAAAATAAGATGCTTTGTAACCGTTTGGAGCAACTCTTACTGGTAAAATACTTTGACACTTTATATTTAAATGAAGTCACTCAACTTCAGGATTAGCCTACTGTACTCTTATGATACTTAGTCGAATAAAACTACACTAAAATTAAAAGAGGTTAGAAGCTTAAAATACATCTACAACTAAATGGTTAAAAGACTGAAACTCAAAATTAGCTGTCAAAATGTTACTGAGTGAGTTGACTGAATTCTTACAGGAATTTTTCACTGTCTGCGAACAATTATTAAATTTGGAATATGATGAGAAACCTATACAGAAATCAAATAGAAAATCATCAAGTAAATGGTGATGTTTTAAATCAGGCCTGTAGGGTTTTAGACAACACCCTGGGTCAACACACCTGAATCAAACGATTAGTTCATTAACAGGCCTCTGGAGAACTTCAAGACATGTTGATTTTAGCCATTTAAATCAGCGGTGTTGGATCAAGGACATCTAAAACCTGCAGGATACCGGCCCTTGAGGCCTGGAGTTCTGTTTTAAATGAACAGTGTATCTCCTAAGACTCATTCTATGATTTGCTCTTAATAGTGGCCACATTCACATTTACACATGGAACTGAATTAAAGAGGCTTCAGGTTTAGTAACAGAACCATGAGAAGAGGCCAGCATTATGAGTAAATCATGATTTAAGAAAAACAGTTAACCGCTGAATGCAGAGCTCCAGACTTCTCATTTATTTCTTTGTCCTATTTTTTTCAGCACCTGCTCCATAGGATGAAGAGGATATTCGTTGATTCTTTTTTGTTCTCTAAATCATAGTTTAATCCATGTGACCCACCCAGTATGCTACTTATTGAAAAACTGTTAATGAAGCGACTGTGCCGCACACTGAAACAAAGTTAAAATGAGATTATAGTGAAATGTGACGAGCTGTTTTTTTATGATAGGTGAAGATATCTAGAAAAAATGTTTCTTTCTGTTTAAACCTGGCTGAGAGGTTTCATGCTAGGTTTTGATCAAGATCAGGGGTCTCAAACTCTAGTCCTTGAGGACTGAAGTGGCTATTCAGCTATTTGATTCACGTTACAGCAGCTCATGAGTGAATGAACATGGAGCAATAAAAGTACTTTTAGAAGTACATTTTTCCAAACAACATTACTCAAATTTAGTAGGGTTAGGGGTTGCATGCAGTCAAGTTCTATAGTCAAGTGCTATACTCTTGCTAATGACCTACTAATTGTATTCAGTTATGTTGCAACAGGTATACGTGGTTCAGGACACCGGCCCTCGAGGACTGGAGTTTGAGACCCCTGGTCTGGATGTGATGTTAACTTTGACTTTTCAAACAAATTGAATCTATTATTGCCACTGATGGTCATGTACCATTTAGATGCTATTGCTCAGTGATTAGTGTCTCTAACCAATAAAAATTGAAATCAAATCTTTTTAAAAGCCTGAAAGAGATGTCCTTTCACTTTTCAACCAACTCCAGAACAAGAGACATTTTTTAAAGATTATGACGGCCTCACCAGACTTAACCTGAAAAAAGCTTTACCCATGGGTGTGAGGGGATTGATAGGAAACCTTATACAACTTAACCTTTATGCAAAACATCCACATTTACTGTAGAAGGCAGTGGGAAACAATTTTTGATTTCATGGTGAGAAACTGTACACTTACAAAAGTGAAAGATGGAGCTTGCTTGTTCCTAATGGCACTGAGTTGCACTGAGATGGCACTGATTAAATGCAAAAAATGTAAACAATGACAATGTCTGATGATAATCATCAGTAATGGCACATGTCTTTGCTCTGAAGTCTCTATGTAAACAGGAACACACATGCATATGCACACTTTTTGAAATGAAGGGGTTTTTCCACCTCCTCGTTCATCTCTTTCCTTCTTCAATTCCACGCTTTCTTTGCAGCACTGAAAATATATCCTGTTTAAATTATGGAAATTTGAGAAGTTATCCTGTAAAGTTATTACGCATCATTTATACTCAGTGGAATATTTTCAGTGCCTGCTTCCTTTCTTGTTCCCTCCCTCCTCAGTCCAGCACGTCTCTTTCTAGAACACCCAGGTGACCGGGACCCACTGGGGGTTTTTGGAAACCGTTTCCAGCGCTGCTTTGACGGTGCGGTATGTCTCGTCGAGGTTGTCGTTGACAATGCTGAGGTCAAAGTAGTGACCATAAGCTGTCTGGATTTTAGCACTCTCATCGCACGTCCTCTGCAGCTCTTCATCCTGTGAAGGAAAACAGATAGCAGGGCTGTTAATCACAGGACTTCTGCTTTGACTGATTTCTCATTATTTGCTGCTTCCTGAGTTATTCATCTTCTTTATGTGCATATGGTTGTACTGTGAGCAATTCCTACCATCAGCGTCTTGGTGACGACCCCTGCCTCTGCAGCTGACTGATTTATGGCCTTGAGCACCTCGAACTCTGGAGCTTGAAGGAACACGATGTAGGGCAAGAACTCAGAGGTCCGCAGAACTTTGAGAGACTAAAATTAAGACACGCAAGCAAAATCAACACAAGTACATTAGACTGAAAGAGTCTCTTGCAGGCTCTAAACTTTTTGACCCACTGGGCTAATCCACCACAAGTTACCGACTGACGAGAGTGAAAGACTGTTTTCTCTTATCAGTACTTTTAATAAGATGCCCTTGAGTGAGGCACATGACACTATGCTGACTGAATGGGACTGACTGTGTCAAACAGATTTAAGATAAAGTAGAGAAGTTGTCATGGGATTACGATGTGAGGAATGTGGAGGGTTTTATTTTGTGGACCCAAATGGATGCAGGAGATCAAAGTCTCTCTCCCACCCCATGCAGGAGACTCTGACAGCACTGAGCAGCTGCTTCAGTGGCTGCAGAACCCACCATGTGGGACAGAGAGATTTCACAGGTCTTTCCTTCCAACTGCTGTCAGATTCTACAACATGGTCTCTTCAGATGACACACACACACACGCACACACACACACACACACACACACACACACACACACACACACACACACACACACACACACACACACACA